TGAACTTCTATAACCCAACTCATGTTAGATCTTACTAGTTTGAATGAAATCGTTAGAATCTACAGCTGTTTCCACTCATGGCTCAAGCTCTGTTGCATTACCGTGACAGAATTTTCTTTTCCGGAGCTCACACAATTTATCCTTCCGGTTTTTCTTCGTCAAGGCTCATATTTCGAACGTGAAACAAATTGAACAAACGAGAATTCGTGGAGCAGGACAGTCCCCAATGTGTCGTTTGTTTCCAGTTGTTGCTTTCTCATTAGAATTTTTGGAAATTTTAATTTCGTTTTCATTTTATTGAAATTCCTGGTTCCAGACTTATCTGAATTTGGAAGGATACTGTATAAAAACTGCACATCCATTTACCGCCAACAAAGTCGTTTATCAATTTGTGAAGTTTCCACTTCCTTTATTGGTCTAGTGATCGAGAAATCTCTATCAGCTGTTGAAATCCTGGCTTCGGGCGTTCTATGTTAAGAATTGGCGACGTCTTTTGGTATATTACCTAAAATGCTTTTATCCGCCTTTCATAATAATAGAACAACGTACTGAGGGATTTTTTGCATAACTGTAAGAAAAGAAGTATTCACATTTCAGCGAATAGGACGAGGTCCTTACTGGACACGCAGAGAAGCAACACTAATTACTTGCTGACTGCAAAGCGTTCACTTTTACTTAAGCATCACTTCAATAACCACTTTTTAAATAAATCATCAGGCCATTGTGGATGTTGACCTAGCTCATCATCTCCAGATGTCTATGTTCAGCGTTGTTTCGTGACTGCAAGGAAACCACTCAATGATGCTCGTTGTGCAGAATCCGCTATCTTTCAAACGAATTTTCAATTGCGTTTAAATTTCAAGGCTTTTCGAGTTCTCGGTTAAGTCCTTATGAAATTCTTTTTTCTTTTCCCTTGAGTTACTTTTAGAAGCGTCAGCTATTATTCTTCTATCCCTTCCAGGGACGCGTTATGCATTTTACTCCACTCAGAGAATCATAGAGGCGATTGAACCTATACGTGGCCAATATGTTGAACTACAGAACTTCCCAATGAATCGAATTAGTGTTTTCATACTCCATAACATGTCTGATCCCAATTTGCCAGCGCCGAAGGGATGGGAATGTGGGTAGTCCAGGAATTGGGTTCGAACCAATCGTGTTTGTATGCTGACACATCTAACCACTGCGCTACACATGAAGTGGTGGTTTCTCGTACCATTTTTCTTAATTACTTATTAGCTTTGATAATGGGAAGGGTTTCTTGTTGTTCCAGCAGAGATTAAAGTGGAACCTTAAGACGTGGCTGGTGTTGCCACCATTATTTGTTGTTTCTTTTAAAATCAGAAAGTTCGGGAAAAAAAAAACCATCGCGCACAAACGCAAAATTCCTTTCAGAAGCCACCTCACTTAGCAATGAATAGAATATTTTTCGAGTATTCATTTTTTGGGGGGATATGAAGTGACTGCATTCATTCTTTGTTCTCATTTGAATTTTAATGATCCACACTTTTTTCCTTACGGACGTATCTACCACTTTGGTTGGCTTTCCAAAGTGTACATTTAAATGTATGGTTAACAAACATGTCATCTATATACAAAGCATCCTCTTTTTGGACGAGAGGTAGGTTTCTCGAGATAAGTAAGATTCCGCTTACTGGAGAGATGGAAGCATTGGTTGGTTGGCTCGGGGCGGGGTCGAACTAGGGACCATGCGCATATTGTTGTGGGACACCTATAAGGACTGCGCTTCCTGCGCTCATAGTTTTCATAAGTAAAAACATACTAAACATTGCAGTTCTTCAGTGGTGATTTTCAATCACTGTTAATTTTTAAACCTTCAGGAATTTCTTTAAGAATGCATATGAAACTGGTCTTCCTTCTCCATCCGCTACGATATTCCATAAATTATGTACATATTGATTGATGCAGTTTTTGTTTTCTGTCATTTCGTTTAGTGAAATATCTCCATGAAATATCAATAACATGAGCCCATCACTTTTGTCCTTAATTTTGTCTTCTTCTTGAGAGTTGATGTAAAAGTTTTACTCTGCTCAAAAAACACTTGAATGCATTGAAACTTCTGGAAAGTCTTTCTTAGGAGAAGATTCATGCAGAACAAAGGATAGAGTGCCAATTTTATGTTACTGGTTCGACTCCCGCCCAAAATAGTTAGTATTTACTAAATGGCAGTGAGCCTTACTTTGCACGGCATGAAACACTTTCTCCTTCATCCTTAACGCGCTATGCAGATCGAATTCAACGGAAGTGAGACGTTTCGCAACATTCATTGGAAATTTTCTTCTTTCGTGGTGTAGGCTTTCTTATGAAAAAGGTGGTTTCAACGGGAAGAATTTCAATGATCTTGACTTCGAGAAGATTTTACATCCTTTGGTATTGTTATTGAGAATAATCCAATTATGAGAAAGGAAGGAACGAAGACGAGCACTTAGCACTTATTGAAAGGATAGAGCTCTACTACACAACAACAATACTTAGAAATGCACGTAGTACTCCGTTCATCTCTTTTGCGGGTGAATGCAACACAATTCACATCCGATGCTGGTAACTGTCTTCTGCTGCGCCGTGCTCTGTGCCCGGTAACGGTGGTCGCTATGTGTGAAGCTGAGGTCCAGAGGCAGTTGCAGTTGTTGGACATGATAAGCGAGGATGTAGTCTATTTTGTAGATGACCTCCATCAGGTGCTTAGACCCTCTTAAGATCGGCTCACCTACAGCTTTTCATTCGTCAGCTGCGGTATTGATGATTGATTGGTTTTTTCACTTTTTCACTGGTGATTCCTCGACGTCACGTTGTTTTCAGATAGTAGTAGAAGTTCAGATATAGTTTTTCTAGCTGTTAAAACCTGAAATTATTGTCCGAAGATTCTCGAAGCACGGCTGTTCATAGATATGACTGTTCTGAATGAGGTCAGATAAGGTGAACATTAAGACAACCAAGTAGCCGGCCATTTTCTGTCACATCATTTTTCTGTGATATATTGCCACTCTTGGTACCTCTGAACACGTGCCATATTTATGGCAGAACCCAGAATGACATGACTTCAATGAAGAAACTAGTATATTTATATCAAAGATTCCGATTTGTGTCAAACGTCGGCAAGGACAATTTTAGCGTTGAGTGGGCGTTCGATTGGAAACTGTTGTACACAATTTTGCAATGGTCTTCGGCATCATTTTCAAACTTCTTTGCTCCATTCTCAGTAGCTTTTCTCCTAGCTTTTCACCTTTTGACAACGTTTCTTAGACGGTTCACTTTTTAATCGCATCACCTTTAACTCAATTAGTTGTCGGGTGACCTAAGAAAACACCACTAAAATCTCCATTCGCCGTTGTTGTTTGCTCAAGCAGCCCGTTGTACTCGGTGTTGACAAACGAAAATCATCTTACTGTATTTGTATGACATCATTCATTTCTACATCGTTGCCTAGCCTGAGCAGGATCTTATTTTGAAACTGGTTGTGCTCACCAGTAGCTTGTTGGTCTCAAATGGTTTACTCATATGCAAAGTTTATGTACGCAGTCGCACGCTTAGATGGACCGTCCTTAGATGACGTGAGGGTACAAATAGTTCTTTTATGCATCTCATTGTCCACCTCTTCTATCCACTATTTAGGAAGTTGATTGAGTTCGTATATGACTTCTACGGCAAATTGAAGGCCTATTATTTTCACTCGTCAAGATTTTGAAGGCAAGTCGAGTGTAATTTCCTCTAGAGACCTCAGAAAACGAATCTAGGGCATTCTCAGGATGTCGCAAACAGTAAACGCCCTTCATGAATCGGTGGCAAATTCTCCGCCTTGTGACTTAGATTGATCCAGAAGGGCAGCGAATCCCATGGTTATCCACGATCCGTTTGAGGACAATGTGACAAGCCAAGATCTCAAAGAGTTTCTTAAAATGGTTCTTTGATGAGCTTGATGAATGCTTTTTACGAGACTTTTTCTTTTAAATGAACCTCGTTTTCAGACTGCACTGCACAACTATGGGCATTAAATGATACGAAATTGAAATTCGTGCAAAATAAATCAAAATAAATGAGCAGAATAAGTTACTTTGTCCTTTAAGGTCTTTGGTTTTGACAAATGTCTGTTAGATGTCCGTCCAATATTTTTCCTCTTGATCGTGGCTGTGGGTTTTCCTTGCATGGACCTGTATTGTGCAGCGGAGACTCTACCCTCATCAGTGTCTCGGAAGCTGTGAGAAAATTCGATATTTTCTTGAGCATGTTCAGAATTTAGGTGGCAAATGGTAACAATGTGGGAAAGCTATAGCACGATTTTCGAGAGCCTGAAGAAAAATCCTCCCTAGCTGAAAAATGATCAGCTAAGTAGGAACTCTACTATGGAAGGCACAAGTCGCCATATTCCTTGAACAAGAATATTCAAGCATTCAAGCGTCTGTTGTGTAATTGAACATAATTAAAGTGCAAAATATGAAGCTTATAACACTTGTTAACCTCAAATTTTCTAAATCAGGAAACCTAGATATGAACTGCTGTTCCACAAATTTTGCCCACTCGTTTACTTTCTAGTACTTGGAGAAGTTCGTTGGTTTAGGCGGGGGTTTGAAACCTACGTCTGTTTACGCATCTAGTACATTGTATTGCATTTCATTTAAGCTTCTGCGGCATAATAATGCCTCTTGGGAAATTCGACGAAGTGATTTCGGTGGATTTTACTCTCTATGTCCGTCGTCACTTTCCCCCGTCTTTTAGTGACAGATTACTGAACACCTGGCCATGTATTTTGTTCTCAGGTGTCACTGGTTGCTGTTTTTCAGAGTGCTCTATGGTTATTCTGAGCGATCTGTCAGCTGTTGAAGAAATTAGTACTTCATATGAAAAAAATGTCAAGAGAACGACAAGTTCCCGTTCCATTTTTTCGCCTTCGGATGATATTTCACTTTTTTTTCTTGGTCTTCGTCAAACGCCATGTGTCCTTAAGCTCATTGTCCTGTGCCCATTTCACTCAAATTTTCAGAATGCACAACGACAGCTTGATCGACGACGACGACGATGATGGAGAATTGTACGAATTATCGCTTTACGAATTGGTCAGTGATTTCTCGATTCGGCTGTAGCAGATAAGTTGTTTTGCTTACACGAACGCTACTTGGTGGCTCGTATGGTGGCTCAAAAGCCACTAAAATGTTATGAAAGCCGCATCGTCAGATTCATGATCAAATTGAAATAAATGGCATCTATAGAGCAGCGTTTGAAATTTGTTTGTAGTTCAAGCTGCAACTTCACCTGAAGAAGGCAGTGGACTAGTTATTTTTTTGCTCCAGCGAAGATCCTAGTAACTCAGTGTTTTGCTCAAGTAGCAAGCGTGGCCGTTCACTATGGGATAAACCTATCTCCTCTCTTGGTGGACTTTACTAAAAGAAACGAAACCATGAGAATCTGTTGTTTTTCGCCTAAAGAGCAAGTTACGTCATTCTGCGGCGAAGAAGTTCTAATTTTCTTGAGTGCGGTGTGTTTTCCTTTTTTCATTTTCCTTTTTCCCAAAAGCTTATACCTCAATCAGCCAAGTGATTGGAAGTGGAATTTCGTCCAGCTGTTAATGACGGTGGTTTTGAAGATGTCGTCAGCGAAGACGGTAGTCGAGGTTGTTTCGAAAACTCTACACTCTACAACTGTGTTACAGTTCCTTAGCTTTACTTTAAGGGGGTTTTGAACAAAACTAGCTTAAAACGTTCTTTAGACGGCTGGGAAGGCCTCAGATTTCTACGTGCCCTGCCTATCAAAAAACTATCGGTGATGATCAAAAAAACAAAATTGCTGTGAAAATGTTAATATCCTAATGAACTTAATTTCGGAGTAATAAAGCGACATGTTGAACAGAAATGCAAAGCAAGGGCTTCGGTTGCTATTGTGGATAGCATCTGAGCCCCCTAGTAACACCGTAGGTTGTAAGCCCACCTCAAGGTCCCAGTTTTTCTCATGTCTCAGCATCTTTGTGGTTGTAGTTCACACCACATCATGTTGTTGAAAAGGAATCAACAACAAATTATTAAACATAATGAAACGATAAGAATGCTTTTATAATACTTTTAAACTCAGAAGCTTCATTCCAGCCTATTGCAATTTTATTTTGGAACTTCGATTTTTTGTTGCAGATCTTTTGGTGTATTCTTTACGTGGTGATCGCCCTGTTAGCCGTCGTTGGCAATTCGCTCGTCATATATATCACGTTGATTCGACTCAGGTAATGAAATAAATAGTTCTGCTCATGGATTATAAGAGAATATCTAGAATTGTTCATAATTTTTCGAAATAATAACATTAATTCTTTCCTGAACGCTTTGGAATACCTATCGGTTTCAAGAGACCGACTTTCTATAAACTTCGGCATAAATAGTTGATATATTCATTCATACGATCTTATAAACTGTTCTTGCTGAGATGATGCGGGGTTGGTATAAGTTTCTCTTGTCATCGTTGTTGTTGTTGCTGGCGTTATTGGTGTTTGGTTACGAGTGGGACTCGTAACAGCACGGTACGGTTCTGAGAAAGGCGAAATCGCCGAAACGTCAGCTTTCGACCAACAGCACCAACAACAACGACAACGACAACGAAAACCTACCGGCTTCTTGCTTTTCCTTCTGAAACATGAAAGGTTTGATCACCGGAATCACAGTCGTTAGATCCGATGTTATATCAGCATTATCATTAACTCTTTGTAATACTGTAGCTGTTATTACTCTATTGTTGCTGAGATATTTGCAAACCTCCGGACTACTGGGGTTAGCGGTGGGGAACAAACGCGCTTTTACCCTTCACGGGACTAGCGCATTCAGCACCACACCATGCGGGTCCTTCGTTTCGCCTGTTTCAGCAACATTATAGTTTTGGTTATTATAGTTATATTTCACATACCTGCCACTAAAAATTAGTAGGCAGTAAATAAAAATTAACGACGTTGTGATTTATAACACAGTTTCAGCTTAGCTGGGTTCATGCCGATTTATGCACCTCAGGTCAATCCCGTTGACGGGTGATTGCTCATAGCGCCTATATAGATCAATAACACGGCTGAGAAAAGGCGAAACGAAGGATCGGCATGGTGTGGTGGTAAACGCGTTAGCCTCCGGAAAACGTAATAGCGCGCTCGTTCCCTACTGCAGGCACCTGCCGTCCGGAGTTTTGCAAATATCTCAGCAATATTATGGTTATATTCCATATAATATCCCGCCATTAAAAAATAGCAGGCAGTAAATCAAAATTTACGACATTGAAATTATGCTGTCTGACAGAAACCTTTCATTGAAAAATGACTGCAGAATTTCGCTATTAGGTCACTCTGCAAGTAAACTGTAGTGATAATCTATCGGTGTGAGGTGCTTCTTGTGCTAAACGACAAGCTTAAGTAAGTTATAAAAGTTCTTGAAAGTTTTCCTTGTTGTCGTATATTTCCTTTACATCCACGCACCAGTGTACATCACGTAGATTTTCACTGGTGAACTACAGCGTCCATGAGTTCGTCGTGTGGCATTTCTCAACTTTCTGCTCAATATACTCATCCATTTTTACAAACGCTTCCTGTTTTGTTTCTTTGTCGAAAGACTTCAGACCAAGGTTATACAATAAATTTTATATAAGCCATTACTAAACTAGGCTAGTAAGTTTTGAAAAACTCCGAACCCTTGGCCGAAAACACTTTGGAAACAACGCGGTCGTGTCCCGTCCACGCTTCCAATTCAATTGAGCGTAACTCCAAGACAGATTATCTGAACATTCTTGCACCACTCAAAGGTCAACTTTATGACAAACGGCTAAAGATAAAGAGTTCACATAAATTAATACCTTAGGGATGCGCCAAACAGTCTATTCCATTAACCATTCTAGAAGGTGACTTCATGCATATTTGAACCACCAAACGATCTTCAGAGACCTATTGATGTATGAATTAATGCTACTGTTCTTCCAGACAGGTCTAGTACCAACCAGGGGCGCGGGATCGATCCCATGTGTTTTGCAAGGTACCTCTAACCACCGCGCTACACGTGTCATTAATTTTACGACAGTCATCAGAAATCTAGTTGTATGTGAATTTAATCCCGGAAAGTTTTCATACTGCCTTTGTCTCTTGGACTGCTGGAGCACACTGTCAGTTTTTCCACTGTTTCGCTATTTCAGTATTCCTTGTTTTCTTCGTCACTTTATTACATTGCTGTTCTAATTGCACGTTCTTTTCGAATTTTCAAGCGTTCAGGTTGATAACCATAATTATTATCTTTTCCGATCTATGAATTTTCTTCTATTCTGTCTTCAGAATCTTTCAAAAAGTCTTCTGGAATTTAAGGAACCGTTCGCGGAGATTATGGCATCCTATGGAAATTTCTCATCGAAACTGATTCGAATACCAATATCGAGGGCAACGAGCCCAGAGATGTCTTCCGAATCAATACTTATTGAAATATACCGATTTTGAACCACAACGTTGCTGAGATATTTGCAAAACTCTGGACCACAGGTGTCTATGGTGGGGAACGCACGCGCTATTGTCCTGTCCGGGGAGTAACGCGTTCACCACCACACCATGCGGGTCTTTCGTTTCGCCTGTCTCTCAGCTATTTCTATCGATCTTTTTNAAAAAGATCGATAGAAATAGCTGAGAGACAGGTGAAGCGAAAGACCCGCATGGTGTGGTGGTGAACGCGTTACTCCCCGGAAAGGACAATAGCGCGTTCGTTCCCCACCATAGACACCTGTGGTCCAGAGTTTTGCAGATATCCCAGCGATATTTCAAAACCGACTTTCCTAAAACCTCGGTATCACCAATCAATATGTATTCCTCCTTTGATGAGCTTACACGAGGTTGAAAATGATGTTTATTTTCGGCTAACGTTTCGACGTCTTCGTTTTCCTCAGAGCCGATGATCCGAGTCGATGGTCCTCTCTTGTTATTCGAGTCAGGTCTTCTTCAGTGAGCCATCTTCTCGAATGAGGCGTCCTTACTCAATAATGCCCCTTTTGTTATCACCGGACATTATCATTATATCCACCATCAGTATCGTGTATAAAAGGGCATCAGTATCGTGTATAAAAGGGCATCGCTCATTCGAGGAGATGGCTCACTGAAGAAGACCTGACTCGATACGAAGACGAAGCTGCCACGTCGAGACGAATAACAAGCGAGGACCAACGACTCGGATCATCGGCTCTGAGGAAGACGAAGTCGTCGAAACGTTAGCCGAAAATAAACATCATTATCAACCTCGTGTAAGCTCATCAAGGAAGGAATACATATCTCAGCAATGTTGTGGTTGCATTTCGCTTAGTAACCTGCCATGAAAATTATAGAAGGCAGGAAACAAAGCGTTAAACATTATACTGATTTTATTCAACCATTCAATTTGCACACATCGTTTTTAGTTGCCCGCTTTTACGATTCTTCACTGAGACAATTGTTATACTGGAAGAAGTCTCATCGACAAACCTCCTTCCGGTCACCAAATGTCGGCGACTGTCTGCGGTGATGTACTGAAAACGTCCTAGAACGACTATTTCGAGACTCTGGAGTATTCAACGTGACATGAGGAGAGAAAATGACAGATTGTCAAGCCGTCGAACATACGCATGAGTCTGACAACATCTGTAGATAACTACTGCAAAACAATGAAATGAAGGGATTTTGTGGACCAGCATAATATGTCAGACCTGACTGTCAAACTGTAATTTCTAAATAAATATGTGAAATTAGTGGAAAAAGATAGGCAGTTTTTGACTGAATCCTTTGTAATACTATAAGTGGGTTCTAGAATAACTAGCAAAGCAAGGATTATCATCATCTACAGGTATAGCGCAGTAGATAGAGGTGCCTTTCAATGAACAATAGGCCTATCATTGGTTCGATTTTGGGTCTAGCAAGGCTTCCGTTCCTCAGTGGGCGGCAAATTGACACCAGACTGGTCTGAGAGGATGGCAGCACTGATTTGGTACAACGCTAATTACTACGAGGCCTTAAAAAGGGCAGATAGGCATCCAATCACCTGTAGCGATGAAGTCGAATGCATATCGTATACTTTAGGGATTGATTAATGCCAAACGCTTTGTTTTATCCCTTATTAGAATCTGTACGTCTTTCCAGCAGGTTAAAAGTTGGGTTCTTTTTAATTGGATACTTGGACGACCCATGCTCACTGGTTGTGTGGGTCTCAGCATAATTTCCATTCTCCGGTGATTTGCTGGTTTAGTCATTCGTCATTATGGTTCCGTGGAGCCCTGAGTACAGCCTGGCCAATGTCTGCCCCAGATCGTCACCACCGCCCTTGTGGATTAAAGGGAAATTTTCCACCATGCGATTAGTTTGATACTGGGATAGTGGTGGATCCTGGTATTAATTTACTCTTAAATGAGCTTCTTATTGGAAACGCCGGACTCCTTCCCAGCTTGGGAGGCCCTGTTGGAGAAATGGATCCGCCATTGTACTTCAAAGCCCGACACCCAGGAACACCTCCCAGCCATAAGGCGGTAAACTGTTCGGACGTGGTTTCTTTCTAGACGTAGAGAAAGGTTGATGACAGGCCCAATGAATACACCTCAGAAGTCGAAGTTTTGTATTCGAGTTTATTGCATGGCCTACTTGAGAAAGTGTTATCCTATAAGAGAACTGAACACTTTTTCAATGATGCTGAGATATTTGCAAAACTCCGGACCGAAGGTGTATGCGGTGGGGAACGAACGCCGTTAAAAAGAGTAGGCAGTAAATAACAAGTTAAAATTGGAAACACTTTTTGTTGATCATACGGAGCTTAAAATCCAGTTCTTCAATGAGAAATGAAAGAAACTCTGCTGCACTACCGATAGTCATTTGGAACAAAATCACCAAAGATCACCACGCCAGACCATGCATGCTTCCGTAGCGCAGTCTGTAGCACTTCAGTCTCATAATCTGAATCGTGAGTTCGAGCATTACCGAGAGCAGGTTTTAGAGCGCAAAGGTTTGCGGTAATATAAATTTAGTAACTCGAAAGACCGACTTTCTATAAACCTCGTCATAGATAGTTGATATATTTATTTATGTGATCTTATAAACAGATCTTCCTAAACTGACGCGAGGTTGGTACAGGCCTTCGTTGTCGTTGTCGTTGTTTTTGATGTTATTGATCGATGGCTGACGTTTCGGCGACTTCGCCTTCCTCAGAGCCTGGACGTATTTTATGTTAGAATACTTTTTATTATTCGGTGGAAAAGAAGATTAAA